AATACAGGCCATTTACCATTCAATTTAAATGAAACAAAATTATGTGAGTTTCAAATATGTCTGTCACATACTTTAAGATTAGTTAGCTTGTAAAAATTTGTAAATCCATTTCCCTCTGGAATTAATAAAGTTTTTTGAATTGAATTGAATTTGAAATAAAATTACTGCAAATTAGACATTGCAGAATCTCACTTACTTACAAGGCCAGATTGTTTGTTTTGGTTTTCCTCCTGTTGTCCTGGAAGAAAGATTCAAAGCTCACTGAAACTCAGCCATTTCCTTCTCCTTGGCTGGTTCGATGACATCAATATGATGAGACATGTCTTTTCACACAAAACCTAAAATAACTTTTGCTGCCGTTTGAAAGTAAATGCTTTCTTGGCATCAAAATGTGTTTTTAAAATTCACAGACATCAAATGTGAAATACATGGCACTTATCAAGCGGTATCAGAAAATAGCTTTTATAGCCCCATTGACTTCAAATCAAATCAATCAAAGATACTTTATTAATCCCAGAGGGAAATTAGAGTTTCAGTACAAACAATTCAGAGATCAGACATACATGGGCAAGACACATGACAAGAATTGGTGACTGTGGTCATTCGCAACCCTGAGTAGTGCTACCTTAATAGAGATAAGAGAGTTACATGAGGATTCGTTCAGGTGGAGGGAAAAAAAGGCATTTCAGAGCCACCCTCCACCAGGAGGGCAGCTTTGCTGCAAAAAACCCCCACCTCAGACAGATATGCAACAGACTTCAGACAACACAACATAAGTGTCCACTAGGTGGGGTGGTGGGTTGGGACTATCACCACTTCAGTTCCTGCAGCCACGATAAGCAGCACATGTCACCTCAGTGTGGATAGGGGGAGGAGCATTAAGGGTTGGAGGGTTGCAGTGACCCTGGAACGTTTCAGCGGCCTTCCCGCAGTCCCACCCAGGTTGGGAAAGGAGACAGAGTTGAGTTGCCATAGCAACGGTACATTCCACATTTCTTCTGAGGGGGGAGCCTTGCAGGCTCAAGGGCACCAGATTCCGATTAGAAATAGTTTGGGGCCAGACAGAGATAATTTCCTCTCTGTCTTACATTTTGTTGGGCCTCAACCTCTCAAAATCCCAATAATGGACGTTAAACTATCCCAATCCGTGCTGATTCGTCCACTCTCTCCTTGATGGCATCCATCTTTTGTGCCAATGAATGAATCTCGGCCAAAGTCCCAAGCTTACGATTCATCTTGACAATTATGTGAGTCTGTGAATTCACAGCGCAGTGCAATCCATCTCTGAGCTCCGGGATCAGGCCAATATTCCTCGACAGTTTGTTAATTTTCTGGTAAGCCAGGCAGCCTCCAAGGCCAATGAGCCGGAAACCTGATACCAACACCATGAATATCCACACGTCTTCAGAGTCCTCCAGAGACAGCTGAGATAGACAGATCAAGTTCCACTGTATTCAGGAGTCCATGATGTGTCCAACTGGGTCTGTCCCGACGGGGCATTCGGGAGCCCCTTCTCCCGTTCTCATCGTCGAAAAAATGTTATCAATCGCGTTGAGAGACCAACTGACGAGATCCATTTTAGTGAATTTCAGTTTCCAGTTTCCAGAAAAATGCAGAAGCAGCCGTGCACCCAGCACACACAGACAGACAAAGGCCTTGAGGATAAGATATGGAGGAGAGTATTCATATTTACTTATTTCCAGGGACCTATGGTCAGGAAGTGGATGGGCATGGCTCCGTAGTGCTGAGATAGCCGTATTCCCAGAACAGGACATTCCCTTCATGACACTAGTCAGCGCAGCTAGCTACCTGAGAACAAGTGTTTCATGCACAAAGGGTGTTATGTGCTGCGAGGTGAAAGTGGTTCAGGGAAGCAGTTTGATGGATGGTTATGATCTAATTGTTTGGAAGGGGGACCAGCACATGACTGGATGAAAATTTTCCAGGATTGTACTTTCAGAGGCGATTAAAACCTTTCATTATTTTGACAAAACATTTAAGTTATTGGTTGCCAACAGTGTGTGAAGAGCACTTCAAGTAATTTGGAAAAATAATTCCAGAAAAAAAGAAATCTCAGACGGGACCTTTAAGACTTTTCAGTTTTGACAGTTTTGCTTGTCTGGGTAACTTTCCTTTCACCAGTTGACTCCCTGTGTACAGTGTGCTGTGTATCCACTCATAAATCACATGATACTAAATATAATTGTAGAAAATCACATTTTCCAGAGATCCTAAGTCAAATATTTTATAACATCCTTTACCGCCATCCCTCAGAAGCACACATACCCTTAATGTTCTAAGTGTGCCACTGGTGCAGCCTTTTTCTCCATTAGAGAGGTGAAGAGACATTAAAAAAAATCACGAGGCCGTCCATTTTCTTGGGGAACTTTGTGCAAAATGTTGGCCACATGTGATTCATTTAAACATGTCCGGGTGGGGAAGCAGCTGAGGTCAGAGGGCAGGAGGAGAGGGAGGCGGTCACTCATTCATCGATTAAACACACACCACTTAGTTAATGAGCTTCCAGTCACACACACACACACACACACACACACACACACACACACACACACACACACACACACACACACACACACACACACACACACACACACACACACTAGCAGTATGTGCCCATTCAAACATATTGCTCTTCAGTATGCTCCCCAGGGTAATGAAGCACAGAAACAGCAAGGTGCTTACTTGCGTATGTTTGCATGAATTACGAACCCTGATCTCTGACCACCCACAAAGTGGTGCTCTGTTCGTGCATGCATGGAGGAGTTTTCCACCTTTATCTTTTCTTTACAGATGAAATCATATAAAGGCTTTAATGTAAGATGCTAACTGATGATGAGTCTAAATGTCAAGATGGCAGCCTGACCTGTCACTGGTAGTTAATAATTTTAATAGACAAGCTTGGTTTGTTATTGTTGTCCCGCATTGCTGTGACTACTACAGGCCTGTAGTTAACACATAACGATGACTAAGCTTGATGGAACTGCCTTTTCATCATTTTAAAATGTGATAATGTCATGCTCTGAATGTGTTTTTTGTTAACCTGATCTCTGGCTAAAAGTTGCTTTCTCTTGAAATTTGCTAGTCCTCACATCTCTGAACACGCAATAGCATTAAATTCTTTACTGTAATAGATCAAGGTGTTTAGACAGGAAACTGAAGACAGAGAGATTCGCTGTTGTGCCTTCTGACCGACCTATTAAGTTTACTAATTAGTGTTAAGAAACAGCAGCTGTCAGTTTCTTGATTTTATAGTCTGTTCTATAAACGTTGTTGCAAACAAAACAGTGGATGTTACTAGATCAGATTTGTTTAGATTGTTAATTTAGGATTCATAAAAAGTTGTTTCATAAATAATATTTTCTCCCAGCATGGTAAAAAATGGCTCTACAACAGAATACTTCTGGATTTAGTTTTTCCCACTGGTCGATTTACAGAGTGCCCATTGATCATGTGATGCAGCTTGACTTTTCCCTTGAGACAAAATTGCTCCAAATACAGAACAGATGAACTTCTGTGGTGCACACCTGAGGCAGTGTATCAGTAAACCTACAATATTAACACACAAACTGTGTGAGAATAAACGGGACAGACCTCTCTGTGTTCATACGACTGTGTGTCCACATGGGGGCGATGTGTCCTCTGCAGGTTTTCTGACAGAGCAGTCTCTTTTGATGCATGAGCATTTGTTTGTTTTTGAACAGATACAGCATGCTGCACAAGTCTGCAGTTCACAACATGCCCAGCAACAACATTCATGTTTTTGGGTAAATGTATGCTCACAGTTAGCAGCAGGTCCTCTGGTCTGTCGGTGGGTGTTTGCCTTCATCAACCCCCTCTCTCCCCTCAGCATCCACCAGGCGGTGAGGAGAACTAGGCCGCTTAAAGATAGCTCCCGGCAGCCTCGATGCCACCTCCCAAAATATATCTGCTCATGAAAGTCATCATCTCCTTCCCTCTCCTTCTGTCTTAATCTTCTTTAGTAAATGGAACAAGAATCATGAGATGCATTAAACATGAAACAAGGCTTTTGGAACACTAAATTGTGAATGAGGAACAATAAAATTACTCATATGATCAAATTTTGGGGAATTGACTAATCTGTGCCATCATGATTCATGTTGTTTCACAAGCATTTGATTACAATATTTTACAAAAACAATGTTTTGGACTACTTTTGGATACTTTCTAGTGCTAGTTACAGATGTGCTGCCAGTGGTCACCAATAAAATAACATTTATCCAAACTATATAACAAAAAAAGCCCAACAGCAATAAAATATATGTTTGTATTTCTGGTTGGGGAAGTGCGATTCTTGATTTTCAGATCCACTGGTAGAAAATATTTTACACAAAACTGAAATCAACATAAACAATATTTCCTCTTTACTGATAAATACATGTGTTTTATTCAGTTAGCTCTGTGATATCGTCTAACCTCCTCCCCCACCGGTCATGACCTCCAAACAAAACTGCACGGGAATAACTGGATAAGAATTTGAACGCACCCCTTCATATCTGCCCAATATTTTCCTGCCGTCTGGACGCAGAGATGGAGCGCGTACTCCCCTCCCACTGTCCCACATCCACGGAGAATGAGGACAATAGTTTGGCTCAGAGACATGTGTGCCTAATGTTGTCCTTTTATGTGGGAAAGTGGAACCGTATAGAAATGGGAGTAAAAGAACGTCTTTGTTCCTGTTTTCTTTCTGCCTCCTTTCATCTGTCGGCTAAGTGACTTCTGCAGTGTTCTGCCTGCTGCAACACAGCTTTCAGACACCTATATAGGGTACAAAAAGATTAAAAATCTAGTTTCTTGAATTATTTTATGGTTCAATTAAACAGTTTTTGAGAAAAAGAACTCTGGTGGTAGTATGTATTTTTATAATTTGAGGAAATCACTGAAATATTATTCAAAATGTTATATTTAAGATTAGACCAAGTGGCCATCATTTCTCATTATAGCATCTATAGGTTTAAATGTCTGACATGAGATGTGGTGGATAAACCCTCGCAGATTTATATCCATCCTCTTAATCCTCACAAGGATCATGAGCTCACGTCCATCTCTAGTGGTCATCAGGCGAGAGGGGGGACACCATGGACAGGTCGCCAGTACATCACGGGAACACACTCAGACTAATAACCACACACTCACTTAAGCACAGCTTCGAGTCCTCTTAAGAAAACCCGTGCATACAGTACCGTGCAAAGGTTTTAGGTGTGACAGTAGGTGTGAAAAAAACGCTGTAAACAAAGAATACTTTCAGAAATATAAACAGTGATTGTTTATTTATGATCAATTCCCAAAATGTAAAGTGAGTGACATCAAACAGTCATCTAGTCATTCAGAATGATCTTCAGCCTTAAGAAGAACAAGAAGTCCTGGAAGTGATGGTGTGGCCCCCACAGAACCTGGATCTCATCATCCCGGAGCGTGTCTGGGACTACACAGAGACAGAAGGATGCGAGGAAGTCTACGTCTACAGAAGATCTGCGGTTAGTTCTCCAGATGTTTGGAGCAACCGACCAGCCCAGTTCCTTCAACGGCTGTGTGCACGTGTAGCTAGAAGAATTGATGCTGCTCTGAAGGCAATGGCTGGTCACACCAAACATTGATTTAATTCTAGCTCTATTTAGGTCATTCACTGCTTTTGTTGATTGATGAAAATTAATGATTAGCATTTCAATTTTTGAAAACATTATTCGTTAACAGCATTTTTTTACATCTGCCTAAATCTTTTGCACATGGGGGGGTGGGGGGACATGTTCACTTGGCACAGAAAGGATTCTCACCAGCAACCTTCTCACTGCAAGGCAAAAGAACCATCAACTGCACCCCCATGCACCCCAGTATTTTTCAAGAATTCCCATTAAAAACTGAAGATGTCACTCTAGGAAAGGTCAACCGACAAAGGTCATTATATTGTCACAGTGGATTTCTGCAGCAAATGTCATGACTGTCCAATCAACAATCAGGTCATGCAGCTTTAAAATTCTCCCATCAGTAGTTTTCTTTCTATTATTAATATTTGTTGTTTTTATTGGAGCGATCCCCATCTATACTGCACATTGATTTGCTTTTCATTCCTCTTTACATTCTTTGGGCTACTAGTCTGTTCCATTAACCCCATGTGCCTTCCTACCCCCCTCTGGCACTTGCATCTATGAGAGTGCACACACACCTCTACACAGCAATATTGAGGTCAGACTGACAGACAGAGACCCCCCCCTCTCACGACTGCAAGCCCTCAGGCTACCTCTCGGTGAGCTGTCATGTAGAAACAAACCCATCTGCCCCGGCTGTGTGCGTGTATGTGCACGAATGCAAAACAGGCAGAGGTTGAAATTAGGCTCAGAGCAAAGAAGAGGATGCCAGAAGAGCGCGAACCAGAAAGTGGGGAGGGGATTGTGTGTAGCGTTGCCCTGAGAAACGGGATGTCGTAATAAGGCAATTGGGAAAGAAAGTGAGCAAAAATGGTAGGGACTAAATCAAAACCGAAAGCGGACAGGGTAGGAGTGTGTGCTTTCAAGAGAAATGTTTCAGTTTTGCTGCCTGTGTGGCCAGCCGACACCCCTCTACATGCAATGAGAGTGGAACACTCCAGCTCGCTCTGGGCTCTGTTGTTGTGCAGAGCTGCACAAGGCCTGACAGAGCCAGCTAGACAGGAGAGACAAGGAAGGGAAGGGTGAGACGCATAGAAGGGGAGGCAGACACGCTGTGGATTGGAAGGTGGCAAGTTGTTTCTTTGGTCTCATCAACCAGCCACACCAGAGAGAAAGGAGACGAAGGGAAGAGGGGGGGAAGAAGGAGCATCAGTGAAAGCAGGGGGGAGTGAGGGAGAGGCAAGGTGAAGGAGGAGAAGGGAGGAAGGAAAGGGAGGGAGGAAGGAGGCTGAAGCATGAGGAGGGGCGCCTGACTGACATTGCTGCTCTTGCTATCAGCTCACACATCAGCAGAGGCAGACCCAGACAGACTCAGCTCTGCTCTACTGCTGCTTTTGTGTGATCCATCGTGGAGCCGTGTCCTCCATTCTTGTCTTCTTCTCTAAGCAGGAGGACAGGAGAGACAGGGAGAAGAGGGGGAGAGGAAAGGACGAAGAGGAGGAGAAGAAGGGGAGTCAGTAATCCTCTCTTCTCCTGTACTTGGACACAAAGCAGTCATAGAGAGAGAGATCAGTTAAACTATACAGGAGAAAGCAGCTTTTTGTTCCATTTCGCCGCTTCCTGTGGTCCATCGGCCAGAGAGCGGCTAACAGGCACCGCTCATGTCCGTGAACTCGGAGAAATCCTCGTCCCCTGAAAG